TGTGTTTCAGAGCTGTCTGCAGAAAACACGGAGACACCAGGAGTCTCCAGAGGCTGGTGGTGACTGTATCTGGAAGATGCAACAGTGTTTCTCTCAATGAATGCCAAGTTGTAGCTGTGGTCACTGCTGAGGCCCCTCACCTCCAACAAAAGCTCCATGAAATGTAAAGCAGATAAAACTTAGAGGTAACACAAAGCACTTAATGAACAAAAGCACAAAACGTTACCCAAAAATAGTCGGAACACAAGGAAGTCCTCTTAACTTCAATGCTGTTTACAGGAGAGCAGTAGGTGTGTTGCAGAAATGTCTGCTCTGGGCTCTGGGTCGTCTGTTGAGGCTGTTACAGTAAATTGTTACTGAAACCGAGGCCACAAAGCTGCATTCATTGAGACATTTGACTATTATATATTATTAAAACAATGTAAATGGAGGAAAGAAGAGTCTCTTTCTACATTATTGTTTGTTGTATTTCAAAATGTTCAAACTGGACAAAAACCAAGTTATTACTGAGGTCAAACTTTTATTCAGGAAAACAATTTGAATGATGTTCTTAGACTCTAGCTTTCTTAGATTTTGAAAACTTCAAATAGCATTATGCTGGAATACTTAATTTGCATAAATGAAATACACTTGATATATATGTAGGCATTCATCTTTAGTAGTATGGAAGGAAATAATTTCATTCTTTTCAGATAGAACTAGTATAATTTCTGTGGAATCTTGGAGGTTAGAACTGGATTCAAAACAACATTTAAACTATTGGGAGAGAAACTGGTGTGTGTTGAAAGCTGTCATTGGCCTGTACAAGTGAATGGCTAATTTCCAATTCTTCATCAAAGAACTGGAGAATACCATTTGAAATAGTATTTTTATAGTACTATTTTTACATGCATCTCATCTTGCTGGTGCTTAAGACACGTACCTTTTACAGAGCTTATCTGCAATGCGTCCAAAGGTGAATGAAGACTATAGTGATAACCAGCAATTAACCTCTTTCCACTGAGCTGTCTCAAATTAAGGATTTGTAAATCAGGCCAAATGATCACACTTAAGATATAAATCTATTTATAAAACCTGTAATCCTGTTTACCTGTAAAACATGTAAGTTTGAAAGTCCAGTCTCCACATGTGCCAAAGCTGCATACTAATGGAGAAAGTAATGTGCTTTTAAATGCACTTATCTGTGTTTGCACTCTCAATCTCTACCATCAGGAAGTACTAAAACCCAAGTCATTCCTCTTGAGGGCGTGATATAAACTTGGGAATGTTAATTCAAAAATGAGGTTTACAGACCTTCACCGTGCCTGCCAGTGTGACCTTGCTGCACCCTGGTGCGTGACGAAGGCGTTCGGCAGTTTCCCTCTCCCCTAGGTCAAACATTGCCTTTGCAAATGTATGTGAATTGGCTGCTCTCCCGCTGCTGCCTAAATTCTCTTCTTTGCCTAGATTGACGTTAATCGGTTTCCACACATGGCTGGTAGTACATAGGAGGTATTCGCTGGATGTGTGTTTCTATGAGCAAATAATCCATGCACACTAGTCTGGATGCGTTGGATCATTTTCTTGCCAGGAGCGAGAGTCCTGTGCGAGTCGCACAGCGTGACGCAGCGTGTGCCTGTCCTCATTTGCCACGTGGGGATGTCTCCATTTGCGTGGCCGTGTCTCGCAGGGGCAGCACCTCTCCCCAGCAGTGCTCCCAGATCATGTCAATCAAGGCCTTTTGCACCGATACTTTGCTGTCTAGTTCCAGGCTGCACCTCCAAAGCTGTGAAAATGAGATGCTGAAAGAGACAGCATCTAGGGCAGGGTGAATTTTCTTAGTTTCAGGCAGTTTTTTGGTGCCATCTGCTTTATTCTGTCCTATTACTCTACCTTTACTTAATTTTTAGAAACATATTTACATTCAGTATTTTGGCCAGTAGTCTCTCTCAGTTCTTAGAAATTAACACAATATAATAATCCTTCATCATTTTGAAGCTTAAATATTAAGGAACCCTAAATCCTTTCGTTCCTGATTTTCATGTGAAATAGCTGTCCAGCGAGCACAGTCTTCTACGACAATCTTAATCCTTCCAAAACTATGCAGTTTTCTCTTAAATATCTAATGCTGATACTTACCCTTCCAAATCTGTGTATCTAACAAGACAACTATTTTCTGTTTATGAGTTTTTTTATGCAAAATTAATAGAATTAGATTGTCAAAGCTAAGTTAATAGATATAATTCACAGAGCAGTTGGGTTTAGAAGGGACTTTAGCAGATCATCTGGCCCTGCTTCCTCTTCAAACAAGACCTTTTTGGTCTTAAAATCCTTCCTTAGACCCTAAAGGCTTTTGTAAGTTAATTTTCTTTGGTCTGCAATTGCAAATATTATCCAGGATTTTTCTTCCTTATAGTGCTGAAGGTTGAGACTATATAATTTGTTTTTTTTCCTGGTTACAAAGCCACTAGTAAAAAATAGGGACTATAAGCTGCCAGCAGAGATAACCTAATTTGCACTGATGCTCTGAGTATGAACTGCCCTGCTGTGAAATAATGTAAGGACTTGGGAGTGCAGGTGTTTCTACCTGACCAGTCCTGACAGGCTGCAGGGAAGGTTCTCATTTTAAGAGATATTTATGCAATAACTTTAGACACCTATCAAGAAAGGAGGAGAACAGACCAAATGCAGTTGGAGAATATTTTTTAAAGTGAAATTGATGGCCCAAAATGTGTATTTTTCCTCAGCCCATTTATTCTTGGCTGCAGACAGAATAAAAATGCCTTCCCATGATTAGTATGGGGGAAGGAGGAGAACCCGGTGGTCTCTGATCACGTGAGAAGCTGCAGACTTGCAACTCCAATCACACACCTTTCCCCTACCTTTAAGGCACTGTCATATACGTAACCTTAGCACTCTGCAGATCACAGCCGACAGATTTATTGAAGTCATCTGTGGTGTGTCACCCAGGTCTTGTTAAATTCATAAGAATACACAGTAGTTGGTGTAAAGTGTCATAGTTGCTCTGACAACAGTACCAAAATAGAAAGGCACAGGTAGACGCTGTTCTCGCTGTCTTCGAAACACCGTTTCCGTAAGGAATACGGGTCGCGGAGCTGCATCCTGTGCGCTGCTACCTTTTACTGCTTAAGCATGTTGAAATGTTTGTCACGTTTCTGCAGTCCAGCAGATCTACAAGACGTACAGGCTTATAGTGCTGAATACCTGGTTATCACTGGGAAAAAAAATGCTCCCCTGTTAGCATCAGAACTGACTTATCAAACAAAATACCTGTGTACTCTTAGGTACAGGTTGCTGTTAGATCTCCAGCAGCTTACTGCAAACTGCTGGGGAGCATCCCCTGTGGATGTGCTCCTTGGTTTTGCCCGTGGGAAACCCACGCACTTGGGGCTAGAACCTCTTGCCTCCCCCAGCAGCGACTGCCGTAACCGCTGTGGGCAAGCGGCCCGGGCCCTGATTTATCACCGGCCTGGCCTCCTCTTCCCTTCCGCCACCCCTTCTTCCCTGCTGCCTTCTCCGGGCCTCCCCCTCGCCCACCAAAGGCAGCGGCGCCCCCGGAGCAGCCGGGCCCAACCAGGAGCCTCCGGTGCCTCCTCGCTGGGCCGAC